AGGCTTGAAGTGGTTGGAGGAGGTTGGGCTTGTTCTGCATGATACTCATACTCATCATCATCATACTCATCATCATCATCATCATCGTCCGAGCTTTATCCCAACTATTTGGGGTCGTCTACATGAATACTGCTCCACCATTTCACTCTATCAAGGGGCCATACCTTCTGTCAATCTATAAGTCACCATATCTCTTCACGCTACTTCTATCTATACCCTATTGGGCCTTCCCACTTCTCTTTTAGAGCCTTCCACTTGAATTAAATCACTCCTAACCGGTGTTGTTCTAGATCGACACTGCACAAGGCTAGAACACCTAATTCTACTTTCCCTCATCTTATCGCCTACTAGTACCCTTAAGTTTCCTCGGATGTATTCATTATGAATTCTATCCTTTCTTGTTTTACCACTCATCCATTTCAACATCCTCATCTCAACTTTACTCATTCTATGGATATGTTATTTTTGATATTATCAGGCATGTTCGCATTTCTTGGACCCACATTTGGTGAGAAGCTTTCTGATATACTCGCGAAAGAAGGGGCAACATCTTCATATGGGGGTGGAAATCCGTTGACATTTTAAAGACAATGGCTTCCTCGATTCTTTTGTCACACTGAGAATGTATAACATTTTTTGTATCTAACTCACCATCTTGGTGACATACTGCCCATTAAGGGTTATTTTTTTGTATACCTATTCCTTTCCCTTAGTAGAAGTCAACTTTTCTCAAAAAAACATTCCATCCTATGAAGCATGGCGGGTCTTATAGCCATCCTATAGAACTTCCCCTTCAATTTCATTGGTATGCAATGGACGATCACATAAGACTCCAGAAGCACCTCTCCACTTTGTTGACTTAGCTCTAATTCTATGCGCAACATCTTCCTCATTTTCTTCATTCCAGTGTTTTAAAATGCGGCCGCATCACCGCATATGCGGCTGCATCATGCGGTATGCGGTGGGCTCCACATCTGAACTGATCGCATATGCGGTTTTGAGCTATGCGGCTGCATATGCGCAGCGTCGCATCGCACCGCATCTTTTCTGCTGAATATTTTTTCGATTGTGCCCCTCTGGGAGGGGCAAAATGGTCTTTTTGACCATCCAAAAATGGGGGAAACAGTTTTTTTTTTTTGGGGGGGGGTATTAAACCCCCTAAACGATGATTTACAGTCACTTTTGTGGCTTTTTTTGGATCAAATCGAGCAAAAAAAAAAATTAGGCGGAAATTTTTTTCATTCAAATCTTCGATGTGGTGGTTGTTTGATACTTGGATGTTGATTTGATGCTTTTGATTGTTAATTTGGGGAGGTTAGGGTGAAAATATGATGATTTACAATCACCTTTGTGGTTTTTTTTTTATCAAATCGAGCAAAAAAAAAAAATTAGGCGGAATTTTTTTTTTTCATTCAAATATTCGATTTGGCAGTTGTTTGATATTTGGATGTTGATTTGATGCTTTTGATTGTTAGTTTGGGGAAGTTGGGGTGAATTTGTGACAAGAAATCGGGGGTTTCAGAGGCTGTGAAGAAATCGAGCATTGTTTCAAGAATCAGTAACTTTTTATTCCTTCTTGTACAGTAATATTGTAATACTTATTTTTGGGGCAATGTCTTCTTCCCAATCTTCTAGTAATAAGGATTCAGCTTGGAAATATGCCAAACTAAAAATCCAAAAGATAGAAATTGTGTGATATGTTTGCTATGTGAAAATACTTATATAGGTGATATTTTTCGACAAAAAGAGCACTTAGCCGGAATTTCTGGGAATGTAAGAGCATGTCCACAATTTACAGATGATATAAAAAAGGAGATTAGAGAATACTTGGATAGATAGAGAGAAGAAAAAAATGAAAAGAAAAGAATTACTTGATGATATTATTTGATGATGATGATGATGATGATGATATGTCTGAAGTTGCTATGAGGCAAAGAGTTACTCGTACTCCAATCTCAAGAACACCTCTCTCTAGGGGGCGAATGGATGTTTTTTTCACCCCTAGCCCTGAAATTGTGGTTCAGGAGAGAGAAAAAAACAAAACAAACCACAATTAAAAATAGATACAAGAAAGAATAGAGAAAGTCGGTATGTAAGTGGATTGCAAAGTGGATTTACATGGCCGACATTCCTTTTAATACTTTAACTGTAGATAGTTTTGCATGTATGGTCCAGGCAATTGGGCAATATGGCCCAGGACTTGTTCCTCTTTCATTGCATGAAGTTAGGGAGCCCTTGTTGAAGGATGCTGTATATGATGTGAATAAAATTTTGATTTCTCAGAGAGCAGGGTGGGAGAAATACGGGGCCACTATTATGTGTGATGGTTGGTCGGATGGGAAGTCGAGGGTATTCATTAATTTTTTAGTTAACTGTCCAACAAGTACTTTTTTTGTTAAGTCTGTTGATGTATCAGACAAGTCACATGATGCTACATACTTAAGTGGCTTGATGGATGATATTGTAGAGTTTGTTGGAGAGAAAAATGTGGTACAAATTGTCACTGACAATGGTGCCAATTGTGCTGCACTTGACTTTGAAAAGGACGCATATGTTTTGGACTCCTTGCGCACCTCATTGTGTTAATCTTATGCTTAAGGAAATGGGTACAATATCTTTATTTAGTGGGGTGATTTCAAGAGTTATATTTGTTGTTGGATTTATTTACAGCCGCACCATAGTCCTAAGCATGATGAGGTCTTTTACAAAGAAGAAAGAATTAGTGAGATCGGGTTTCACTAGATTTTCCACATCATTTCTCATACTTCAAAGCCTAGCCAAGCAAAAAGTGCCTTGAGGACCATGTTTTCTTCAGAGCAATGGAGTCAAAGCAAATGGTCAAAGCATAAGGATGGGAGAAAGGGTGAAAAAAATATTCTGGATACATCTTTTTGGAGTCAAATAATTCTCGCATTGGAGGTGACTCGCCCTTTAGTGAGAGTGCTTCAACTGGTTGATGGTGATGTGAAGCCCACCATGGGCTATATACATGAGGCAATGACTAGGGCAAGAGTAGAGATAAAGAATGCTTTAAAGGATGATGAAAATATGCGTAAGGCTATACTTGAAATTATTAATAGCAGATGTAATACCCAGCTTTACAGGCATCTCCATTCAGCCGCTTACTTTTTAAATCCATCTCTTCACTACAAGCACCCATCCATTGAGTCTGATCGTGTAATAAAGGGTGGGTTCTTAGATGTGCTTGAGAGGTTGGTGCTTGACAGAGATATCCAGGATGCGATCTAGAGCCATGAATTGATTAAGTTCAAGTTAGCCTTGGGAAACTTTGGGAGAGATATTACTATTTAAAATAGGGATACTACAGATCTAGGTAAAGGCCAAAAGTACCCTTACTTGTCTTTAACTTTGTTTACCCTTAATTTTTATTTATACAGTTGCATGGTGGGCATTATATGGAAGCGAGACACCAAATCTACAACGTCTCGCTATTCAAGTGTTGAATCTCACATGTAGCTCATCTGGTTGTGAGCGCAATTGGAGTGCATTTGAGCATGTAAGTCCTTAACTCCTTATTCTTTAATCCTTATTTCTTGAATTTCAATTTCAAATTTCAATTTTCTAATATAAAATCTAATTTCAATTTTCTATCACAGCTTCATATAAAAAAAAAGAATAGGTTGGAGTAGAAAAAGTTGAATGATTTGGTTATGTGTGTTATAATGAGCGTCTTAGGGAGAGGTATCAAAATCGCATGAACCTCAATCCTATTCAATGATATGAAGCTGTTGGTGATTCCACAAGTCAGTGGACCATGGATCTAAGACTAGAGCGCGTGTTTGAGGGTGAGGATCTTACATGGCTCGATGTTGAGCTAGCAACAGGGGCTAATGCAGAAGATCGATCTAACACTAGAGCACAAAAGAGTAGAGCAGCAACAGGACCTGGGTCTAGTCGCACTCACACATTAGCTCCAGAGGTTGAGGAGGAGAAGCCTGACTCAGAGGAGACCAAGGAAGAAGAATACATAGAGGCCGCTGAGGATGATATTGATGATGCATATGACGACTCTCAAGATGACTTTTCTGATTAATATTTGAAAAATTGACTTCAAAATTGTCTGGGATGACTATATTAAGTAACTATTAACTCTTCTTGAGCTTAACTTCAAGACCCTTTAATATTCATGGAGACATGGACTTTTGGTTTGTAGTATCACTATTTTGTAACTTTGAAGTTTGTGGTTGCAAATTTGTGCTTATGGTTGTTGGTTGTTGATTGTTGAATGTTTTATGAAACTAGTTTCAAGTTTCTAGTTTCTAGTTTTTATCAAGGGATAGTGGATATAGAATCTCTGACAACTAATATTTTTGGACTTACTCATTAAACTAAAATACCTACTATCACATATATCACCCCCATATGTTTTTTCTATGCACTAACCTATTTTTGTAGATTTTTTAGAATTTTTTTATATTTATTGACCGCATTGTCGCGATGCACCTGCATCCAGACCGCATCGAGCCGCATCCCACCTCTTTTGGCCGCATCCCGCATTTTAAAATACTGCTTCCTTCTCATGGATTATCGACTGAAGATATAAAAAATAATCTCTTTTTGGTGCTTCTTGGCCATCAATATTAACTAATTCCTTGTTTCTACTCTTGTTATTATTAAATTTGCATTCTATATGTTGTCTTAGAATTGTTAATTTTAAAACATTTAGATTCTAGAGCATCTCTCCAAAGTTCTAACTTTGCATTGAACTGAGGTCTTGCTCTCATAAGGTGCTGAAATCTTATGTGCATGTGTGTGTGTTCATGTTCCTATTAATGTAGTTTGTGCATTAACTTTCATCTGCCAATTACTTCTTATACACTACGCACTAGTAGTCGAGTCCGGTAATGTATGTATCAGTCCTTCACCTGTTACTTTTTATAAGATGCACTGTGATTGTTAAGTCTTAATAGTATTACACATGTACACACAAACACCCAGAAAGATACTTTTTATTTATTCTTTGGGGTTTCTGTGAGCAGGAAGCACCAGCAATCATACAGTCCTACTACAACAAAAGGATAGTCGGCTGCCCAGGAGGGGAAGGTGGTAAGTTTTTGTTCTAATTTAACTGGTTACTGGTTTGTTGCGTATGTAAGGTAACTCTGAAAAATGCTTACAACTGTTCTTTATTTTTGTACCTTTTTTATTTTTATTTTTATTATTTTTAACACTTTGACTGCTTTCTTTTATAGTTCATTTTATAGTTTGATGATTCTGAACATCGTTTTGCAGAGGATGAGCATGATGTTGTGTGGTTTTGGCTCGAGAAAGACAAGCCACACGAGTGCCCTGTTTGTTTTCAGAATTTTAAGGTCAAAATCTGTTCTATCCCTCAATCATACTAGTTTATATCATGGGAAAGCATTCCACTACAGTGTCTCCACATCCTACCAACACCGGCTATTGACATTGGGTGGCTGGTGAGAAGGCATTGCGGTTAGCTTCAGTGTGCTCATGGCTTAAACCCCCATATGCTAGTATTATACGCACTGTGCCCATATCTTGTGTCCGCCCTCACTGAGGGACGGTGCAGATGAACCATTTTCTGCATTTGATCAACATGGCTTAAAAACCCATATGCTAGTAGTATACGCACTGTGATTGTTTAGTGTCAGCCCATCTCTTGTGCCCGCCCCCTCACTGAGGGACAGTGCAGATGGACCATTTTCTGCATTTGATCCACCATTTCCTGTCAAACAAAATTATCAGTTCACCTCCAATGTCCATCATTGAGGTGGATGGTGGAGATGATACTTATACTAAAGAATCTAGACACAAAGTTGTATATTTTCCCTTATTATTCCCCTTGTGTTGACTTTTCTTATTACTTTGCAGCTGGAGGTGATCGGCGAAGGTGGGTCACCTGAGGGTCATGGTGACGATGGTGAAGACCATCATCACTGATGCTGTGAACCCTGCCTAGTGTTTTCGACCACAATAAGAACTTGGTGAGAGAGATGATGACAATTTCTGTTGATTTTGTGTGGCAATGTCGAAGCCTTTCCTTATGTTGAGTTTCCTTACTAGGCTATTGTTTTTTCTTTTTTGTGCTTGGCCCCATAATTATTGTTTTTTGTGCATGGGTGTGGCCAGTCACACAGATTTGTGTCGACCTTTTTAACCCATCAATAATTTCTGGCCTTTTTCTTTAGCTTTTTTATTTCCTTTGTATTATTTCACCCTTGGTGAACCTCACAATGATTTCTTGGCAAGTAATTTTGAATTTTTTGTTTTGGGTGTTTCCTTTTTGGGATAATATTGAGAAAAAGGGAAAGCCTTATAAAAGTAAAAATTATGGAAGGCATTTAAAGGGAAAGGGGAAAATTTTGTGGTAAAATATCTGAAAAAGGAACACCAATTTGATGCCAGGACCTGAAAGTTTCAATATCTGTGGTTGTATGCTGATTGCGATTCAAACAACCATCTCTGGTTGAGACCATTGAGCCAGGAGGCCCAGCCCTTGTTGGTTGGCCTTTCTTTATTTTTATTTTATTTATTTATTTATTGTTTAAGGTCACAATCCCCAAAGCTTTTGAGAAGTTGTTCCTGGTGATTAACGTATATTTGTAGATGGATGATGGTAACAAAAGCTGTATTAGGAGCCTCCAATTTATTCATTCTACTCGTGTCTTAAACCGAGTAAGCGTGATGGAACCAATATATTTTAAATTTTTTCAAGGACACGGTTTCTATGAGTCACGTAGAAATGAGTCACCCCTTCAAAGTTTACTTTACTTCTGAGAAGGATTTTTGGACCTAATGTTTAAGAACATGCAATCTCTCTAACATGGAGATCATGAGTATGAAAAAATAAATAAAAATTGAAAATTAAAAATAATAATTTTATTAAGAAAACATTTGGTTAGTTAGTTTCAATTATTTTTAGTTGGATCACCTATTTGTATCATCTTTAAGGTGGAAGCTTTATACTTTGGGGATTGCAAATGTAGAAATGCGGTCCCCTTTGCATGAAACAATTTTCCTTTTGTTAATCCAGCAGCATTATTCTATGAACATTATCAATTGATTCACGAAGGAAGCTTGTGAATAGTTGGTGTGCGTATTCTCTTTCAACGATTTAAGACCTGGCCATGTATGGTTGAAGGGAATTCTATGAACATTATCAATTGGTGCACGAAGGAAGCTCGTACACCATGGGTTTTGAAGGAGCAAGTGGTATGGATATCGCAAGCCAAATGATTAATATCTTTTCAGCACGTTGGGTTTTGAATGAGCAAGTGGTATGGATATCGCAAGCCAAATGATTAATATCTTTTCAGCACGTTTATAGGGAGGCTAATACGATTGCCAATGGTAGGAGTTCAAATGGGTGATTTGTTGATTACCAAAGAACTTTTTCTATAATTTTTATTTTTTTAATGTATCTTTGTAATATTGTTGAATCATTAATGAAGTAAAAAAAAAAACAAAAAAAATCCAGCAGCATTATTCGTTCTTTTTTTGCTTATGAGGTCTTGGTTTATGGCCCATTTTCTGTAAGGGTGCAGGTGGTACACGGATGGATCCGTGGCTGTAGACTGTAGAAGTAAGGTGCACCTTCAAATTTTATCATTGTATATAATTTTGATGTAAAATGTTCTTAGGATTATATCAAAATCTATTTTTATATCTAATTATAAAATTTTTAATTTAAAACATAGTTAAAATCAAGTAGATCTATAAACATATGAAAATCTTGGAAATGGACAGTGCATATGATATATTGTAAAATGCACTATTTTTGAAACAAAATTTTTTTATTTTTATGGTCATACATCTCGATGTCGAGATGATCAATCAAAAGGTTTTTCAACATTAAAACTAACTTTTTCTTATGGATTTTTGAGGTGCATCCATAGTTCTCATTTTTTCCCTTCTTTAATTTGGCATGCTAAATTATTTCATCTGGGCAGTGCATGCCCGCATGAAACCTACACTATCCAACCTAGTTGTAGATTGGATCGTGGCCCTGCGATCTCCACTTGATACCTGGGGGATGGTCCGAAACCTTTAAGATAGCTATACGAGGTGTGATAATCCTCTTCTCAAAGTTTTAGTTTAATTGGTCGAGGCCTATTTCCACTTCCACTCGGTGCATACTCAACAGATAGGATGACCTATGGTAATTAAAATTGAGATATTTTTCAAATTATATGAAGATTTCTCATGAGACCTAGAGCATTAGATTTTTGCCTCTGCACTTTATCAAGAATGAGAGGGCAGCACTCTTATGGATTTTCCATGTGAAAGCAGTTGGAGATGCAATAGTAGTTATAAGATTATGCAAAAGCTTGATCTTCCGTTTGTAATATTTCGTAATATATAAGGAGTTTTTGCAATCATTTTCGTGGAGGTGTTCATCAAATGCTTCTCTACGAGTGTAACAAACTTCAAGGTCTATAATTCTTTGGGGTGAAAGCAATTGGGACTAAAATAGTCCGATCTTTTGTCAAAATCTATAGCAGAAATGTTTACCGATATTCATCTATTAAGGTATGACTCGAACCGTTCGATTCGTCTTTGGGTCCTCAAATCTTCATAAAATCTTGGGGACCTCTATCTTCATAAAAAAAATTCCAGGTTAAAGGAGATCACTCTTAGGAAGAGACCATAGTTGGAAGAAGAATCGCCCACCCATGCATTTTGGTTTGACTGCCGATGGTTGCGGATTGTCACTAAACCCTTTATTTTCTTTAACCAAATCAACACAATTCAAGTTGGTTTTATGTTCAGATTCAAACTTTAGGGTGGGCTAAGTTCGAAAATCGGTTGAAGCCTATCAAAGGGTGATTTATGTTCTAAAATCGGTTGAAGTAGCCATGCTAATTATCACAAAACTCTTGCAAACCATTCATGCGAAAAGAAGGGGGACACGGACTGATCCCATTTGTTCTTATGTATGTGTACGTGAGAGATGTCCTATTCTGAAGTTTGGTTCCCACGTAAATATTCTCTGGAAAATATTTACATATGTAAACACTTTACCTGTGTAAATATTTGCAAGCAATTAAAATACGGATACATCTGTAGCTGTAGAGGTAAGGTGCACTCTCAAATTTTATCATGGTATATAATTTTGATGTAAAATGTTCTTAAGATTATTTCAAAATCTATTTTTATATCTAATTACAAAATTTTAAAATTAAAAAATGGCTCAAATTATGTAGATCTATAAACATGAAAATTTTGAAAATAGAAAGTGTAGATAATATGTCGTAAAATGCACTATTTTTGAGACTTCAAATCTTTTTATTTTCATGGTCATACATCTCGATGTTGAGATGATCAATCAAAAGATTTTTCAACATTAAAACGGCCTCTTCTGATGGATTTTTGAGGTGCATCCGTCGTTCTACATTATAAGGTTGCATTCTTATATAAACTTTTTCCTTCTTTTTATGATGTTTGGCAGTACATTTTATGATGTTTGGTAGCACATTTAAAAAGCACTGCCTAAACAATTTCATAGGTAGCGCTTGGTTGGAGTGAAAATATTTACACAAAACCTTGAATAAATAATATAATAAATATATAATATATTATATATTATAGAT